CCCGTTGCTCCCGGATCAGTTATCTACGGCCCCCCTCCCGCCGGAGCCCCGGTGGTGTACGGCCCGCTGCCGCCAAACTTCACCGTCCCGCTCATTCCCACGGGAGTGCTTCACTGCAACGTGCCCGAGCATCACGGCTTGGTAAGGAGGGAGCTGTAAGCTGCAAATCGAACCATACGCAAGCGATTTAATTAGGAAGAGCTTTTAACATATGCTTTCTCCAAAAAAAATGCAAAAACCAAACCTTAATTTTCACAGATTAAACTATTATTATTTTTTTTGTTAAACTAAAGTCCCTGCTAGGAAGGTTCTGATCCGAGAGCGCTTGCTGAGAAGAATGATCTGTCTTCAGTGCTAATAGTCTGGTCTTTGTTATCTGTAGCTGCTCCTGTGTCTCCGGAGGACTGGAATAAAAAAAGAGGTCTTGATATTTTTGTTGTTCTATTTCCTGTATGTAGGAGAGCGAGGTCTCAAGGCTAGAAGATACCGTGTATTATTTAAAGTCTCGGAAATACAAAGATAAATTGTCAGAGGCGGCTGAGCATAAATGCAAAAAAGAGGTGGAAAAATTGCATCAGAACGTTGAAGAACTTCTGCATGAGAGAGAAGAGTTAGAACGTGAAGTGGCAGAGCTCCGACAAGCAGCTCAAAAACGTAACAAACGCAAGTAAGAATATTGCCCTGGAACACGTTTGTAGTAAGCATGTGCAAATACCTAAACTTTTGCCCAGTAAAAGTCAATTTTGACTCCTTTACAATTCATGTAAATGTAACATAATTTAATGTAGATTTATAATTAAGGTAAATGGACTAGAACCTCAAGAGGCATGGGGCCTCTGGCTTTTTGTATTTTAATTCCACGTCTTTCTTCCTGACCTTTCAGGGACTTTATTGAAGGCTACACTGACAACCTCATTGCAGAACTGCAGTTAGAAAAGTCTCTTAAACATCATGAAGATATTGCAGATGAAATTGAGTGTCTGGAGAAGACTCTTCTGAAACGACGAGCGGAGCTCAGAGAGGCAGACAGGCTGCTGTCAGAAGCTGAAGTGGAACTTGAGACCACACGGGGGAAAGTAAGTAAAGCCATAACTCTTAAGTGCAGAAGGATTTGCGTGTTGCATTTAGGTAGTTTTAAGCAGAGGATTTTTGTTTGCCTAAGCAGTTCGTTTTCGCTTGGATAACCTGGAACCTCTTAAAAATGCCTCAGTGTGAAAATAAGTCGTGGGATAACCTGTGCTAAAAGAAAATGTTTCAGTCTGTGCCAAAGAGGAGGAAGCTTTTCTGCTCTGGTTGAGAGAGGAGAAAACATTCTGCTTTGTGATAAAGAGAGGGAGGAGGCTCAGGCGGAACACTGGAGCCAGGAGGAGGTGATCTTGAGGCAGCTAACCCACAGGTCAGCCGTGTGGAAAGCACAAGGTGGGAACGTACTGGCTCCGTAACCTTCAACTTTTGCTCTAGGCTAAAGACACTGTTCAGAAGTACAATCACGCCAAACAGCATTTGTCCTGTACTGAAAGTGAGGCGAAGGAGCTCGAGCGAAGGGCTCAGGATGTGGCCACTAAACTTGTGAAAGCAAATCAGCAATTAAGGTACACTCTTCCTGGGAATTTGTCTCAAATGGGGATGAGGAGAAGAACAAGATTCTTTCAAATATCAAGATAGTATTTTAACAGCTCTTCCCTCTCCAAAAGCACTAATATGAAAAGGCATAAATGCTTTTTCAGGTTATTGCAGGAGGATACAAGGGATTTGGAACAGCGTAAGAGGGAACAAGAAGGTGTTTTGAAGGAAATCAACAAAATGGTGGCTGCAAGAAACTCTGAGTTCCAGTCGTTAAACCAGAAGATAGAAATGCTAACTGAAAGGTACGTACTTTTAATTTACCATTAACTTTATTAGAGAAAATGATGTTCTCCTCCAGTAAGTTTATGCCTAAGGTATTCCTGTTTCTTCTGAGTCGTGTTTTTATCCTTGCTGCCAGTCTTCAGAAGCTTCAAGGCGATATTCAGGTTGCAGAAGGTAATGAAGAACATCACCTCGAAATCCTTAGAGAAGCTGAAAGCCTTCTTCAGGGCAAGAAAACTGAACTGGAAAGACTGAAAGATCAGGCAAGGCTTATCTTATTAATTCTGGACTATCAGTTTTGTTGGTTTTGATATAATTGAAAGCTGAGAAGGGTCTTAAGTTCTGAACTGCCTTGTCTGAAGAATTTACGTCCTAAGTTTTATGTTGGTAATTGGAATTGGTCTTATTTTGTCCCATAATAAGTACAATCCCAGTCTCGCTGACATTCCTGCATAGTAAAGGTTACTGCGAGAGTGTTCTATTATGACTGCATTTCAGAATAAGAAACTTAACTCCCTGAGGTATGAGACTGCACTGCCCAGATCAGAACTTAGTCCTTGGTCTTGGCTTTATTATACAGGTTTAGCAAATGAAGCTCCTGGGCTCCTTGTGTGTTATGGAATTAAAACAGATCTCTGGCAGGAAAGAGGGTTCTGTGCTTGTTCTTG